TTTATTGATTGTCAGAAGTATTATTTTTGATGTATTCACATTTGTTTGAAGGCTATATTATACATATAAAATATATTAAATTATGATTTTTGTAACTTTAGTTTGGAAAATGTTTTTTTTTTTATATTTGTGAAATTTTGCTTATTTAATAATTCATATAATATAATATGTTAAACTATTTAAAAAAACTGACACGTCGTTGTTGTAAGAAGATAACGAGTGAAACTCACGAGAATCGCAGCATTATTTGCATGAGCGTTCGCCATCAAATTGGAGGGCTAATTTGCCGGTCACGTTTTTGTGCTAATAGGTTTCAAGATAGCGATGGCGGTGTGCAAATCGGTCGGCGCCGACGAGAGCGTCGTGGAGGACAGCTATTGCGATGCAAACAGCAGGCCAGAGAAGACCTTAATGCCGTGCAACACGCATCCCTGCACAACGAAGTGAGTACTTTTGAACAGACTAAACTATCTACGGTAGAACTGCATGCACGTTCTACGTCAAAGAAACGTCAAGCTAGTCGCGTGTACAATTGAGAAGTAGATATTATACGTGCCTTACCCCCGATGGAGGACTGCACGCGCGATTTCATCCGCCAAACAATAAAATATCTATCTCGTTTTTATGTATAAAATATTACTTTGTTCCGTTATCTTGCGTTAACTCGCAGATAAAGCGCAATTCTTGTATGTTATCTCGGGATTTTCAAGGAAGTCTGCGAGGAGCGTGCGGAAAATTGGGGACTACGTACTCGGGGAGTACGAGCGATCTTTGTTCCTACAACAATATTTCTCTTCCGTCTCCCCGTGGAAGGGTTGCGAGGCAGCGATTTAAAGCCGGTTCTCGCGATGGGAGTCGTCCAACAAACGACGAAATACTCCGCCGTCGACGGGACTCGGACAAAAACTCCCGCAAACTATTCTCTCTGGGATACGCGGACACGCTGAAAGTCGTGGAATAGCGTTGAAAATTTACCGTCCAGATATATACCGTCCGGAATCTCTTTTTTTGTGTTCGAATTCATGATTCAATGTTCATGAGGCGATCGATTCCTGCCAATTGTCTTTTATCTCTATTCCACGAACGATCAAGGATTGTTTTCAGTTTTCAAATTAACGGAGAATATTGTTCTTTTTTCTGTTTTTTTTTGTTTTTTGCAAAAACTTCGCGAAAAATTAGCGAACAGAAATAATATTGTAATGTATAACAAGTGAAATTTCGTTTAGGAAAACGTATTAGTTCGTTTTCATCGAACGGATGGCTTACGTTGTAATATATCTCACTCGATCAATCGATTCACCGGAATGCAAGAAAATTGCCATTTGAACACGCATGCCCACGATGACAGTGTTAGTAACGGTATCGGGTCGTATCGTTTAACGATCAAGACTGGCCCCCTTGTAGCGATACGACGATATCGCGGACTCGTGATTACAAGCAATTCCGTTGATAAATTACGAGTGGCATCGATCGCCCTGCGAATCGGTCAATGGCTAATTGGAGCGGCCGCGAGTTTAGTTGAATTTAGTTCGGCCGAACCAACTAAACGGCTCACCTTTCCTCCCCAGAGAGGAACGAGACTCTGACCGCCGTGAAAAGCCGCAACCGCGCTTTGAGCTAGCAATCCGGGAGTTATGATTTAATCATACATTACGACTTACCTCTTAGTTATTTACTATTTAAACGGTCTATCTTCCGTCGTATAATTCAAAATTGAACTAATCCAAGAGTTATACGATCAAAGATAATTCAAAAAATCTCAGGAAATATGAAGAAATGGTATTTGAAAATCATTGACTTTATTTAAAGTATTATGATACTTATTGTAATAAAATATGTAGTGATATATTCATATTTATATTAAAAGACACAAGAGCAAGAGACATGATTTATAATGAATTTCGTAAGCAAGCACTACGGTGCAGCTTATCGAGAAACTCCACAAGATACGGTCATGTTGATACATAGATTATGGATATATTTATCCAAGATATTGGTAGTACATGTTACACTGTAAATGAATTTTATACCGTAAGATCAAAAGTCATTAGCACATTAATACGACCCGACAAATTTCCAGCGCGATCTCTTTTCTAGAGAAGAGCACACAATACGAGGGAAATTGAAAAAAATTGACGGCAATTAATTTCAAATCTCGAGATCACTTTAAGATCGTGGCCTTTATATACTTAATGCTCACGGTTTTGCCGTCGGCAAATTGAACATGTCAAAGATGACTTTGAAGATCACACAGAAAAGAATGCCAGAACTCGTGAGATCGGCAAGGTCGGCGATAATCGATGATCGATATCCTGCACGTAAATCCAGACACGAGTTTACCGTTTCACTTTGTCATTTAGCGCAATCGCTCGTACACGGAACATTTTACGGTGTCGTGCATGAAAAATGCCGAGAGTGACTTTGACAGTTTCATAAAAAGCCTGTTACCTCGATGGAAGGCACTCTACCCATGTTACGTAGTAAATGCCCAGCAAATCGGTATCTTCTCTCCCATGGCTATATGTCCAATACGTTGGGATTGAAAACCGTCAAAGATATCAGTCGAGAGTTTTAATAGAGAGAAGCTTTGACATTTAGATTCAAAACATTCAGCATCATATCAAAGCTACTCCTATCATTTATTCATCATCGTTAACAGTACGGAAATTTTCGGAACGTCAAAAAAGCTGCCAATGAGATAAATACAAAACAAAAGCTTACCGCAGCCAAAATAGAATTAATTTAAAAGCGTTATTTGAACAGTTGTTTTTACTTTTAAATTTTAGACAGAAAAAAAAGATATGCATGCTGATATTTATTGTTAAACATTTGAAATTATTTTTTTATATATTTGAAAGTTTATTTAATATTTACATATTTAAAAGTTTTCCATTATTTTTATTATATATCTTTAGAATATATAATTATATAATCCGAACGTTATGTCAGATGAATAGAATGAATAAATCTGCAATCGTGCATTGTTACGATGGAAAATCGAAGCAGCGAAAACTGCGCAAGATTTTTGGCAATCCCCGTGCAAAGTTCTGTTTCATGTTTTGGAACTCGACGACTCCATATTCCACGGCCCATAAGTAACAATAACCGAATGTGAAAAATGAACGTATTCACCGACGTAAAAGAACGAGAAACGTATCGATGAGAACACCAGCCATATTTCGAACGCGTTTCAAGCAGCCATCCTGTCGCCTTCCTCAGACCATAAAACTTATATTGCGAACGTTGACGGCACGTTCATTTTTTACGCCGACTTTAAATAACGCAAGTGCGGCTGTCGCTCTTCTATCATCACCGACACGAAGAACGGAATGTTAATCGAGTTTCATTAGCACATGTAACTTTGCTATATGTCGAACGCGAACGGCTGGGTAACTTTGCAAGCTCTGCAACGAACTTAAACTCGGTATATTCCGCTGATACTGGCACCTTGAACGAGTTTCCTTTTCTCTCTGTCTCTCTACAGGTGGATGAACGGGGAATGGAGCGCGTGCAGCGCGAGCTGCGGCGGTGGTTCGCGAACGAGGTCCGTCTTCTGCACCGAAGAGAATGGGAACGAAACCACGAAGGTAAATCCGAGACAAAGATTCTTCAATAATAAAGTTTTCATTTAGACGAGTTTTCTCCTCGACTCAATCTCGATGGAGTTTGTGAGAAATTACTTATCTCTTAATAATGCGAAATATGTTCGAATTTCGAACGTGTTACAATATTTATGGGACAGCTCTGGCTGCCGATATTATTGGCATTTGTCATAAATTTAATACGTTATTACTTACAATGTCACTGTTACTTTTTATTACCTCTAATGAATATTATTAATTATTCGTCAAATAACGGTCTTCTCTAATTATTAAGGAATTTATCGAGGAAGAAAATTAAATAATTATTATTTTATATTTATAGAGAAAGTAGACTCTCAAGATATTGACCTGTCTGTGAGGCCAATAATAAATTATTGAAAGAAATACATCGTCACATTTTTATTAAATTCTTATGTATTCACGGTTTTTCGCAATCATTGATACACATATCCTTTATATCTTTGACAATATTTACTAAGATTTAATCTAAATTTTGAATAAAGAATAGGTTATTGGACGTTTTCTATTAGTATCTTACAATTATTTTTTTAATTTTTATTTATGCCAGGGCAACATTTATTATACATTTTCTATTTTAATTTTAATTGTTCAACTCATATGTTTATTTATTTATTTATTTTTTATCGGCGATTGTATAATACTACTTCGAATATATATATTTTACTTTCAACCTCGATGTTGGCCTTTATCTAATTCTTCATTTATTTTTACGACAAAAATCAAGTCAACATTTATGAATTTATTGTATCATGTCTCAGTTTTTTAATTTGTTAAATTGTCAATTTCCATTACTGAAGAAAACTCTGTGTAGATCGAGATATTCGGTTATTTAGTACTTTGCGTTGATAAAGTCAATAACATTTATTTTATCTCTATTATTTGTTCGATAGTTGGCTTTTTTTGATATCTTGAAAAACATTCTAATTTAAGATTTCATAAGCTTTCATTAAGTTATTTTAATCTGTCTAGTTTGCTAGAAATCAATATACAGTCACGCTTAATACGATTTTGAAAATCTCGCGGAGTGTGTTACCCCTCGCGTTTACCCTCGCTTAGAGAAATGTCTCAAACGCGGCGGTGCTTTTTACGATGTAAAGACAAATAAATCTTTCCGGAATAAATCTGCCAAGCGCGACGGAATCAGCGTTACGCGTGCACACGATAAAACGCCACATTTTTCACATTTCGCCACTGACGTTAGACACGCCGTAATTCCGTCGCGCTTCCGCGCGGACGGAACGTTAACCATTCCTCTCATCTCGCGGAATTTTATGCCGTACTTTCCTACTTGTCTGCGAGTCGCATTTACATACGCAGCCTGTCCCGCTTCTCGTGACGGTCTTGGAAGATCCCACGATCCCTAACCCAGTTCGGTTCGTTTAAACTCGAGGAGCTGCTCGCAAGTACACGCCGTCGCTCATCGTAAAACCTCCCTATCCGACAACTCGCACACACACACACACACACACACACACATACACACATACACATATATATATGTATATATAGATAGTATATGTTCATATTTCAAACATGCAGGATGTCCCACACAGCCTACTTACTCTAGATATCTTTCGAGAATTTATGTAGCATATTTATGACTGATTTTTTCCCCCGAAATATTTTTATCGCAATTTTTTAAATGTTTATATTGAATATTTCGATAATTATCTTTAAAACCAAATTTCTCGGAAAAAAAAGTATGATTCAACTCTCATTAATTCGTGAACGTACTTCAGTTTTCAGTATTGTATAATTCTATAATTACAGATACCCTGCCCATTGTTTCACCGATTTTCCATTTGCGAGAATAAGACATCTCGCGAAAATAAATCTCGTTATAATTTGTTCACGTCTAATTACTAATATTAAATTCTTGTTGTTGCAGCTGCCCGATCATAAGTGTAGCAGCACGCACAAACCGCGTACTCAAGAGACCTGCAACACCGTGTCCTGCCCGATGTGGGAGACCGATAAATGGAGCGAGGTGAGGGTGCATGCGATTCCACGCGAGTAAAACGCGCCGGGATACAAGCGGAGACACGGTGCCTCGCTCGTATCATTTAAGAGCGAAAACGTTAAGCCTTCTCAGCCACAATCACGGATTTAGGTACACTCGCAGGGTCCAACGTACAGTCGCAAACGTCACGCACACACACACACACACACACACACACACACACACACACACACACACACACACACACACACACACACACACACAACTATAAATAATCTTTCAATTAATGGATTTGTTTGAACTCTATAATTTTTATCTGAAATTTATTTTTTAATAAATATATATAACAATATATACACATATCATAAATATATATTTTCTATATTTAATAATTGTGTTTTGCATATTTGTTATACATATATTGGCAATGGAAATAAACTTATACGTGAATTAAATGCAAATAAAAAATTTCGAATAATCTTTATTGTATTTGTTAATTTGCATAAGCTAAATGTCAAGGTATGAAAAAATGAAAAATAAAAATTGAAAAATGAAAAGTGAAAAACGTAGTTACATGATTGACAGTTCACGTGAAACTTTTCACATATAACGATTATATATGTAGCTTGGATGCGTGGAAAGTGAAATCATGAAACATAGTTTCATAGCTTTTATAGCTAATGAAAATTATTTTATTGGTACAGTATTATATACATCTTTTAATAACTAATTGTATATGTACTACGTACACTTAATCCTAACGTAGCCGTAATCTTCTCTGGGTGCTTTTCAACATATACACAGGCGACACTGTGTAACATAGTGTTTACACTGGTGCTTTCCATTATGACAGAGAGACACAGAACGACACTGCGAAACACTGCTCAATCTTAAGTTTGGCCGTGTCGGACGTCAATAACGCTAACATATCGAGCAAAATTATTTTTTTAAGTGTGGTACTAATATACATTCCGGTCATTATTGTCAATTCGAATGCGTTCCGTTTCTTGCATGATACGCATAATGCATCATTTATCCTTGTTTAATGTATTGTGATAAGGATAAATGATATCACGCGTATTATGCGAGAAACGGAACGCATTCTTTATCTGTAAAAAAATGTCTTCATCGCATTCGAATAATGTAGTACCGAACCCGGAATTCTAGGTAATTCAGTTTTTTTTTATTTAAAGAACTATATAAGCTTAAAAACATTACATATTTGTTGATAATCCATTATTAGTACAAATTCTATTGGATTAAGTTTTATTGCAGATATGTTCTTTTGTCGATATTGTAAAGAAATTATTCCTATAGTAGATGTTTTCATGTTAAAAGCGTACGCCTGTTGTAACATTGGATCGAAATATTTCAAGATTTAGGCTCTGCCCCGTGTTCCAAATGATGGATAATTAAAAAATGAAATAAAGATTTCCGTAAATAAACAGATATATTTTATTATTAGGTGCACAAAAAAGTTCTGAGCTTTAGATTTCATACAACCAAAATAACAATTTAAATTTTATATATCTTCCCGCCTTTTGCGATTTTAAAGCGTTGACATTTGGCCTTCTGAAATGCCATACGGTTTGGCGTTTGATGCACATAATCTCAAAAATCAGTGGTGTTCAGGATGGCAATAACAAAAGAGCATATTCGATTTTTCATCCACTTCGCGTTTCATCTGAAGAAAAATGCTGCTGAAGCCACTGCAATGATTTGTGCTGCATAGGGAGAGAAGTGTAGGAGAGAAGCTGTAAGTCATGCTACATGTAAAAGATGGTATCAAAAATTTCGCCAAGGAGATTTCAGTCTTGAAGATGAGCCGGATGCTGGACGCCCTCAAAAGATTGAAACGGATGAATTGCAAGCACTGCTGAATATAAATTCTGCGCAAACTGAAAAGGAACTTGCAGAACAGCTTGGCGTTACGCAGCAAATCATTTCCATACGTTTACATACGATGGGAAAGATTCGGAAGAAAAGCAGATGGGTTTTCGCATGAATTGTCCGAAGACAACAAAAATCGTCGGCGTGACACTGCACTCACTTTGCTTTTAGAGTTCCGGAAAAAAGATTTTCTGCACAAAATCATTACAGGCGATGAAAAGTGGATTCTTTATGATAACCCTAAACGTAGAAAATCATGGGTTGACCCTGGTCAACCTTCGACATCGACGTCAAAAGTCCAATATCCACGCCAAGAAGGTTTTGCTCTGTATCTGGTGGGAT